AGTCATAAAAAGCTTGTGTACGCGAGGAAAAGGGAAGAAACTTAACCCTGTCAAGATGCCTAGTATTGACTACGGAAAGACTTTCAATTTTAACATGAAACCTATTATACAGACATTTAGCAATGAAAGCCACTGGCAAAAAATTCAGCCTATTGAGTATTAAGGGAGGTAAACCCAGTTGGATGTGACGAGCAGTGTAATCTAAGTTGTTCATGTGAAATCAAGGTATGTGCCTACGGGGTAAACCTAAACAAGATCGAGTGAAATGACGTTGAACACATTCTATGGAATGCTGCAAAGAAACCAGACCAGGGAACCAACCCGGACAAGCATATTCGATAATAGGTCTAATAAGAACACAAAACAGTTTCATTTGGATTTGTGGATCACTAGAAATAACCAACCTATTGGCAAAGCCTGACATTCTAGTTGCTTTAGACACAGTTAAGTCAACATGCTTCTTCCAGCTCAGATCATTAGATATAGTCACACCAAGATACTTAAAACGGTCGACAGTCTCCAGGGCGTGGGAACCCAGACATAACTAGGACGACTAAATGATTTGGAGCGAGACAGACACATGACTTCACACTTGTTAATTAACATTAAGATTCATTCTATTTAAAGAGCACCAATTATCAATACATGTCAAATCATTTTGTAATATGCATACATCTGAGGGACTAAAGATTTTTCTAAAAACAACAGTGTCATCTGCATATTGTGTGATACTTGATTGAATGCAGAATGGAAGATCAAATTTAAATACGTTGAACAGTGTTGGTCCAAGGACAGAGCCTTGAGGGACACCTGAAGGGACACGAGCCCGGTCCGAATAACTTCCCCAAGATTGGACTCTGCATGCGACCTGATAAGTAAGAAGAGACCAAGTTTAAGAGGAAACCGCACACACCATATTTATGCAATTTATCAAGTAGAATATTATGGTTAACTCTATCAAAGGCTTTAGCCCAATCTAAGAAGATGGCATCAATCATGATACAATGTAGAGAGCGGAGTAATACATGAGCCTTTAGGCAAAAAACCATGCTGGGTATCTGACACATAATCACGTGTGAGCATGTGTTCGCGTAAAGGATTTGCTACAATTTTCTCAAGGCGTTTTGAGACAGTAGAACAGAGAGAAACAGGTCGCTAATTACTAGGATCATGCTTAATACCAGATTTATAAATTGGAACAACATTAATCATCTTCCACTCTGAAGAAACCTGCCCTGTAGAAAGTGAAGCATTAAAAAGCTTAGACAATGGACGAGCTATGGAGTCAACTGAAATCTCGAGGAGAGGATGAATGTCGTCAGATCCACATGCTTTATGGGTCGGGAGTACCTTAAGCAAGCGTTTCACTTCGAAAACAGAAGTCATAAAAATACTGAGACGGAAGTCAGAGCTGTAATGATCACAATTTGGGAATTTCAGGACCTCAGAAACGGAAAATTTGGTTTGAAAGCTTTTCAAAAAAGCATTAGCAACACTATACGGGTCAGAAATGGTTTCACCTTCTACGTGGAGGGCGTTCAGAGTGGAAGATTTACGAGTTGAGCTGACAAAAAAACAGAAACGCTTAGGATTTTCAGCACAATTCGAAGTACGTTCCTTCAGGTAATCAGAGTAACATTTCCTTGTTTTGTACTTGATCTGGTCACGAAGGGATTTATACTTGTTCTTTTGTAAGATCTCTTCTTATGTCTGATGAGAGTAACTAAATCACGTTTTACCCAGGGTTTGCGCCTGCAGCCTTTTTGTGTTAACAAAAAGTGTTTTGTGTTTTATGTGTATTCCACATAATATCCATGTCCAAATCAGGAGAAATATACAAATCCCAATCAACCTTATCAAGTAATTCAAGGAGAAGAGTTTAGTCAGCTTTGTGATACTGAAAGAACATGTGAGTTTCTTTCTCCTAAATGACAAATTAAGATCGAATATAACTCTATAACTTCTTATGAAATGAAATACCATTATTAAAGGCGCTGGACGTCTGCCAGATCGTCCGTGGTGGAGGTCACAGAAAAGGGCAGTTTTTTAGTGACCTAAAAATTTCAGCTTTAGCTCAACCCATAAGTTAACTGTCTAAAACCTCCGTTGATCCAAGCATGTCTAACTCAGGGTCCATGCGGTGCTGTTGACAGCCAGTTTCCGTGGGGGGGGGGTCTGACGGACGTCCATAACCGATAACCCCAAAGTGAGCGAGATCAATAATTTATCAAACCGGATGAAAACTACAAGTATTGCAAAATGTAGAGTATGACTCGCTTTATTCATGTTCAAGATCGGATGCAGTTTCATTTGTCTTCAGAGCTCAACAAGCTTAAAAAGGTTTTTTTTTTGGTTCATGCCAAGATGCGAATTCTGATTGTAGATTGCGTCATTCTGAGAAAACGAAGGGAACCCCCGCCTTGTGTTTGCAGTGGATAAACCTTCGTACATGCCAAACAATGGCTACATGCAATTGGTAAATGCAAGTTAGGTTACAGAATGTGTAGAAATATTTGCATTTTACAAAGTTCTGTTGCAGTTGTAAAACATGTACATCGATTTTCGTGAACAACGTTCCTCGTTAAGAAGAGATCCCTCAGACTTTGTGGGCTGTACCTTGTTATAATGTGAACTTTGTTGTACCAGGAATAAAAATAACAAATGATAACAACTTAAATTTCCTTGGTAGCCTTAAAAACTCGAATTAACAGTGTTCTTGTTAACGAGACTTTATTGTTTGTATTGTACGTAATCCTTGGACTATACGGGAAATCAGACTATGCAAGAAACTACAGTAAATATTCTGTTCATCTCGATGTAACAATGTCGTTGCAGCAAGGACAGGGTGTCACGTTGGCTTATGCAACATTTACAGAAATAACCAAAACTACCTCAGCAGCTTATACAATGTGGGAAAGAAGTTCCAGATGTGTTTAGTGCGAACAATAAAATTGTAGTGAGCAAGACCCAACTGCACCGAAAACTCAAAAGTCTTTTCCTTCACGAATGTAGTAATAGTATTTATTGCAGAATGGTATTTATTGCAGAAAAGACCCCTGTGGTTGAAGTAATACTTCTAATACGTTGCTCAACCTAATGTCCATAAGGTTAGCTTTTGTCACCTACCTAATTAACTCTTACTTTTCACCACTCTGTTTTTGTTGGTTTTCCCTGCTTCTGTGACAGCTTACCCTCAGATGTTACTGAAAATTTTACTTCTGGTCTCTCTGTCGGGCTGAAGAATCACCAACTTTATATTCCTCGTTGGGATATTATTACTATTTATTTATTCAGTCATTTATTTACTTATACATGTACATGAGTAAGCTGCTTTGTTCTGGAAATAGCCTTGGTTTTGACAGGTTCCTTTCCTCCGGTAATTGTTTTAAGAAAACATATTTCCCCTGAGTTGTCCAAATACTGGATACGACTTTCATAAACCCTGTGTTATGTCCTAAAACCGCATTTCATGGTAAACCAAATCATTTACGGTCAGATTTAACTCCAGAGTGAATCTTAAAAACAATGATTGCGATTTTTTTTGTAATTATATACGTATACTGCTGGTGTTGTAACTAACTAAATTTTCCCACTACAAGTCAATTCAAAAGTCTCAAAAATGTGCGAGTCAAACAAAGCTCCGATCATTGAGGAACTCAGTAAAAAACACCGCGATTGTACTGTATAGTACATACATGTATACATGTACTGTACATGTACATGTACATAGCCTCGCATATGCATAGCGCTCAAGACTCTTTCGTAGATAATAGCCAAGTGTGCTCATGCATCAAGCATGACCTTTGATACAGCGGTCCAATCAGACCTGTTGGCTTCATGAAATATGTCCAATCAGAATGCGTTTGATGGGCCCATAGAGAATATATGTACAGAAAAAAACGCTACCCGGTGACTCAAGTCATGATGTAACCAGACACACAAATTTACCAAACGCATGGTCTGCAATCCGAGTTAAACGCCCCTAACACCGTCATGTACACGCCTTGAACGGTCGAGCTGTCTTAACGGTCGACTTGGTAAACGGTCGAGTAGTCCCAACGAACGAGTTGCCCCAAGTTGAGTTGGCAAACGGTCGAACTTTGGGGGAAAGAAACAATCGAATGTTAAACTTTAGCAGAACGGATTTTTAAGCAGATTCCCTGCAAATTCTGTACAATCGGCAAGTGCAGCAGAAAATATAGCAGATTTGTTATAAACAGCTTTTTTTTTCCAAGTACTTGTAAACTATTTTTTCCCATACAAAAGTACAACGGAACAGGCTCTGGCAAGCCACTTTATGCGCTGACAGAATTACCTGGGCCCCTGAGGTTCTGTGAGCGAAACTTGCCAGAAATGATAAGGCAGTTTTATTACATCTGCATAAGAGTTTGGGTATTTAAAACGAATTTCGTGTAATTTAGGTGATTTGACAAATTTTTGTTGAATCCAAAAGAATTTTGAAGAGCAGTTTGCAGAACTGTGTTATTTTTAATCTGGTCACCTAAGCATGTACACTTCAGGGACCCCCCACATCAGTTAGGACTCTGCTGAAATCATCACTCTAGTAATTGGCTCAGAAGGATGATCAGAGATGCCAACCGAATTTACAGACAAAAAACTGGTTCCCAAGACATCAGGTTCCAAGCGTCCACTCCTACAAGCTTCCAGCATGCTCAGCCAAAAATCATCTCCGCGCCCCAACAACCAGCATCTGGCATCCAACTTTCCACACTCCAGCTATACCAACTTTGGGTATACCAGCTTCTACGCTAAATTTCACACCTCGTCCGTCCACCCTGCTTTCATAAATACTTAGCCAACCCTCTCCGACCAATGCAGCATCACTCTCCAGAGGACGACCATAGCATCCTCAGTGGTCGAAACATGAAGTTCACTTGCCAGTTTTTACATGGTGCATCGGCAAGCCTCACACAGTACGTTATAAATGGGTCACCAACAATGCTTGGGAAGTCACGCAATGGAGTCTCAAAAACGTCCTGTACAATTTCGCCTGTATAACAGGAATTTAATCATAACCTTATTAGTTATAACGAGCCTACTGTAATTTGAAAGCACATGTACATATATTTTACTATAACAAGCACTCTGATTTTAGAAAAAGTGCCATTCTGCATCACTAAAGACGATAATTTTAGGGAAAAATACGTGTACATTTTTTTATTTAACGCATGGAAAAAAATACAGTACAGCTTGTATAAAATGATGGGATTTTTTCTCAAGATACATGTACATGTATTCAAATTCTCTATGGCAATGAAGGTCACAAAGTAACTACTGATTCCTAACGGCAATGGAGTGGAAATATGGAACTGGCTTGGGTTAAACTTACCCATTCTTTTACTGCCCTGATTTCAATGAATACAACACATCACTGAATTTTGACTGAATGACAAATTGCACTCATTTGTCTTCGATATGTACAAAGAACTCAAAACTTAATCACGTGTTTGCCGTCTTCTGTTGACAAGCTTGTAATCTGTACACTTACTAACTTCATAGTGCACAACATTTTGCTGTGACAAAGTAAAGGTACTGCTGTGTCATTCCATTGAACAAAGTAATCATTCAATTTAACAATTCAACAGAACAGCTTCCCAATTTGCAGGATCTTTTCAAGGCATATTGGACAAACTTTTATTTCATTTGTGCAATCTAAAACACAAGCTTCCATTGAGAGTGTTGATGCCAGCACCAAATTGAAGCGCATCTGGTGGTATAACCATACCCAAATATCCATGCCAAGATGTCTGGCATGCCAACAGATTGATGGTACAGAAAGAAACAACATAAACAATAAGAAATCAGGATTTAACAAAAAGAAGCAACCAAACAATAACAAACTTCAATTTTTCACAAATATAAACCCAAAGGATTAGGTCTTGGTCAGTCAACCAAAAGGACTAGCCCCCCTCACCCAAAAAAGTAAAATTTAAAAAAAGGAAAATGACCAATAGGCCCAAATAAAATTGTTAAAAAGTGTGACAGTCGTTACTGAAGTGAAGATATGAAACGGTTGTCTAGTGCAATCAGTTTGTTGTCTGTTTGTTCACATTTGGGAAATTGATTGCCTTGTAAAATTGAAATCAAACAAATGAGTACAAATCTCTAGATCTGCTATTATTGAACGACTGTGCATCAAGAGAAAGAACAAAATGCTAAATTGAACACACTGCTTAAGGAATGAAATGCCTCAAAACAAAATCGAATGCTTGAATTCAGAGTTTGAAACAGTAAAAACTGGAGAAGCAAAATCGGTTTAATTTGAATGCAAGAAAACTAAATTGGCTGCTCATTTGCTAAAATTGACTGAGAAAACCTATACAAACTTATAAATGAACACACACTGCTTGATATTCACTACAAAATGTCAAGTGAGGCTGCTAACAATAATCAATTTTCAAACAATCTGAAAATATTCAGTATCTCTACTGAAACACAGAGTAAGTCAGACAAAGTTTGCTTAGGTATCGGGTGTGTTCCATCTCAATAGCTTTGGTTTGATCTGCATACCATAGTAGTCAATAATGGAGAGTGCACCAAGGCAGATAGCCACCAGCTCTGCCAGAAGATCATCACTGACTCGATCACAGTACTGCAGTTCAAGGGTGCGTAGACATGGGGCATAGCAAGTCGACCTCACTGGGGAAAATAAATCCTCGTATTCCTGTTTGGAAAAAAAATGGAAGACCCTTTGGAATCAGTGATTAACATGTACGGGTTGTCCATCTTGCACTTCTTCACATTTGCTGATTATCAAAAGGCAACAGCTATGTTGACTGTCTTTCATTTTGCAGTTGTTAACTGAGATCTTTCTTGAGTACTGAGACTAAAATACATGTTCGACTGTATATGTAGTAAGAAAGTGGGCATGGAGTCCACTTGGCACCACACTTTTTGCAATGATGGTACAGAGAATTGGAGTTCAAAATGAATTTGGTTCAGCAAGGGGGATAAAGACTGTACCTCATCGCTTGACAACTGCTCCACACCATTCCTCTGGAGAAGAGTCCTTTCTGTCATCTTCAGTTTGATTAACTTCTTACAGCGCTGCCATTTTGCCAATTCTGAGGGATTGAATCATAAAGGATAGGGAACTGTTTGAGTTTATGGCCTCTGTGGCTGATATCGTCCTTCCAAGAAATATCACTCATAATACTTTAGTACACGTATTTTGAAAATTTGGGGCAAAATATTTTACAATTAGCTACATGTAAGCCATTTCTGACACTCTGCAAATCTAAAAGGGGAGGAAATGGCTGCGAGAGTTCAGAAAAGAGAAAAAGTTAGGCTGGTTTACCTTTACACCAGATGGCATATACACATGCTGGGATTTCCTATTTCTGAAGCATATATAAAATGTTCCAGTAAATTATGTATGCAGTGCTGGGTGACATCCATTCTCATTCCCATGCTTTAGTGATTCCAGTTGAACTTGTACATGAAGAGAGGCTCCAAATACATGAACTGAAGTCCTTCAAGGTTCAGCATGTTTTCAGCCCTCATGACACTGTGGGCCACAGCTTGGACCACCAAAGGTCAGCATTTTTGAAAAAAGTTCAACTTTTAAAAGCACTATGGTTGTGTAATCTTGTTTTAAAACATTTGTAGTCCCAGCTGTAAATACATGTAATGCTGAGCCTGGCACAAGTATGATATGAAATAATACCACTGTCAAGTGGTTAAAATGACTCATCAATGGCTTCATCTCAGTCTTGGGCTTTGCCTGGCTTCAAGATTTTTCAAGACGTATTTGTAAAAAAAAAAAAATGTATATAAAAAAAATACATCTTGAAAATAGTTCACGGTACCCGCTGCTTCACCTGACTCGGACCGGCCAGCCGACCCCAGCAAGCTTGGTGGTCGAGTGGTTAAGTTGTCTGCATTAGTAAGCAGGAGGTCGTGGGTTTGAGTCCCACCCGAGTAAGCTTGTGATATTTTTCACAAGCTCTCGGACAAGCACTGAGCATACAGTGTTTATTAATATATACGTTGGGTAAGGGCAAAATTAACATCTCCCCAACGCAAAAATACATCTTGAAAATAGGGGATACTGGTTCAATACGAATCAATACGGTGCCAAAAGAAAGCCAAGGATGGGATTCTTCTCATTTGTTGTAAACACTGAAAGACCAGTGTTGTAAAAACGGCTCCTACTGTAGGTCTGATACGTTACCAACATCGAATATGAAACCTGAGCTTTAGGAGAGGGAATTAGGCATTCAATAGAGGAGGTGGAAACCAAAAGAGATTGCTCTTACCTAACTGGTTAATGCGCGCTTCTATTACGTGTTGACATTTACTGTGTACCAGGGAGGCTCCTCCACTAACAGTGGCATTTTTGCATTAATTCTGATGGAAAAATCTCCACACAGATATTATAAAAGTTCTGTAAAAATATTTAAGATTTCACACCTGATATGATGGGCATAAATGGCTTTTCTGTTATGCGTTTGAGTCCCATCAAGTAGAGCTCTACTATAAGAGGACAGCAAGACAACACTGATGATATCGCTGCATCTGTCAGGTCTGTAGTAGAATAAGTTTGGGAGGAAGAAGTCCACTTGGTTACTAGTAAGTTTCTTTATACTTTCTTAGATAGAATGCTACAGTTGACACAAACTTTACCAACATCTGCAGAAAATTGGAAGAATTTTGAAGAAATGACCACTTTGTCATCGATGGATTCCTTTTTGATAATTCCTTTTAGTATACAGTTGACTTTCCTTCTGACAAATTTGGTTGTGGCAAAACTTCTGGTTAAATAACAAAATATGTCTTTGGTCCCAGCGAAAAACTATGCATGTTCCTATGGGGAGAAAATCTGTTGCAGCAAAATTGCATAGTACAAATTCCTTTTACAGTGCAAGGTTTTTGTGACTGTTGCATAAAAAGCATGGTTGGTGACCCATTTATAATGAGTGTTCACAAATACTGGATCACATCATTGCAAATAGGTCTCTAATGTTAATTATTTAATCATGGCCTGATGTAGAATCTTTTCTGTGAAGGTACTTAATTGTTGGACTGTGTACAGTTGCTAATCGTCTGCTGTGGTTACCAACTACAGCCAGTCATTGAATGTCTTGCTCCAGTGACATATTCCAGGGGGCATGTGGCCAAGTGGTTAGGGTCTGTGGCTTCCAATCATAGGGTTGGAGGCTTGAATCCAGCTGCTGGTAGTATGGTGTGGCCCTTGACAAGTCACTTCATACCTACTTGCCTCTCTCCACCCAGGAGTATAAATGGGTACCGGCATTAGCTAGGGAAGCAACCTGCAATGGACTGGCATCCCATCCAGGGGGAAAATAAATATTCTCATTCAATTCATGCCAAGGAAACTGGAGATAAACACCGGTCTGATAAGCCAAATTGGCTCGGACCAGACCAGAGACGCATTCCACTTACCCATGCTGCATGCGCATTACACGCTACAGGGAAATTACATAAGCAATGATCAATTTTACAAAGGGCTTTTGCCATTTTTAAACTTCTGAAAAATAGGGCTATTTAACCCAAACCCGTGATAAATTACTAAATACCTGCCCCATTCATCCATTCAGATAACTTGAAAAAGAAAGACCAAAGTTACAAAACATCCCCAAGACCATAACCCCATTTCGTCCAAAAAATAAATATGACATATAAAGGGTGCTACATTAAACCTCTCAGAAAAAGTAAACTCACCCCAGCCTAAATCTCTGAAAATAGTTACAATAATAATTAAGCGCTAAGTTAGGAACCTGCCAGGAACTGATTGCGCAAACACTGAATTATTCATATCGCAAAGGACTTTGGTAACTGACGCACCTGTCAATGACCTTGTGCACTTGTATGGGGTATGCTTTGCTAGATGTCACATCCAATCACAAAGCACAGTTTAGAGATCAGTGTATCACTCTCGGGCAAGGTTTTCATGGAGTGCATTAATGTTTATATGAGCTGACAATTGTGCACTAATGGTTATTTGAAATTTCAAACACCACCAATGTGCCCAAAAGAAAACTTTTGTTACACACTGAACAATACAAAACAAAGGGACAAAAAAATCTGTGACACAATTTGTGTAAGAAAGAGTACTTGCTAGTTGATCATCAGTCATGGCATTCTCACCATTGCTACTTTGACTTTGTTATCACTGACCTCAGCCATGAATTACGATGGACCGTCTTGGTGTTTTTATATCATTTGTCTAATAACTCAACGTAGCAACTTTCATTTTTTTAAGATAAATAAATGTGTTAAGGTTTATTATTAAAAAGTAACACTACATTTGATGAACAATATTGTGACGAAAATGCCAACAAACTTTCTTTTTTTTTATTTTATCTTTCCCAAATCTCACCTTCTCTTCTAGCAGTCCTGTATTTTCGTCTTTAGGAGCTCAGGTCTATTAAAATCCAATGTTTGAGAGTCCATTTTTAACAATAATTCCATCTCAGTACTGTACTTGTTTATTTAATTGTACATTTAAAAACTGCCCAGGTTTGTGTAAACTGTACTATAAATAGGCTTGGTGTGCAATCCAAAATGGCAACTATTCAAGTGTAACTAAGAGCTTGTGGATTGGTTAGAAGTTCTTCAATTAATTCTAGACGACAGAGACTTCTAGAAACTGATGTAATATATTAAAAGTTGTTAGGAATAATTATAGCTTCTTTGCATGTAAATTGGTCAATTCTGATGGGATTATAGAAATTTATAACTTTGATAACACCTTTGGACAGTTTCGTCTGGTATGCTCATTAGTAGTCAGTATTGTAGCGTAAATCTAGTTGGGTTTTTGTCCTCTAATTTAGCGCAACACTAGAAAAGGGGGACACAGTTGACTCAGGGATTTTAACTCCAAAACTAAACTTGTTTTTTCTTTTTGAATTCTCCCAAGATGGGCCTACTGCCGCAATGCTTCTAAAAACACAACTCATTTTTTTTAAGTGTAGCTGCAATAAATTTTTCTTGAGCACAATTTTTCTGCATCTTAGTAATTTTCATCAATGAAACATCTTACACACTCCTATTTTATTAAATGGATTAAGAAGTGCACACTTTTAAACAATTAAAATTACCCATGTTTTCCTGGACAACTGAGGGTGCTGTTGCTGTGAAGTCAAGGGAAGACATGGTTCAGTGCATAGGTATTTCTATTCAAATTGTGAACCCAGAGTTTACTAAATGAGAACATTTCTGAAAGACGGATAGATGGTTTCTTAATGCTATGCACATAAACAGCAATGAATCAGCAAAGCAGGGAAAACTTAGTCCAGTAAAATCTACAACAGCGCAGCACTTGTGTACAAACCAGTGTAACATTTAGGCTTCCTCCTGAAATGACTTCTCAGTTTTTCTCATGAATATAAACCATAAAGGCATTAAAATACCCTTTGAAATAGTGAGACCAAGGTTGAAAATAAGGTTTACTGAGGCACAAAGGTGCATTTTACAGGTTTGTAATCAAAACAGTTGGTTACCCTCTAAGCATACAAAAACACACTATGTGGAAAAGTATACATTTTGTAACAACTTAACCTTGCCCTGGAACCTGGCCAAACCCTTCCCTTCCATATTGAAGTAGTCTATTTATAGTTAACTATTTCCAGAGCACTGACTGGCCCAGGCCAGGTGCATGCTGCTGGAGCTGGTGGTGCCATCAACTAGTAAACTATGGAAAACAAACTGTCCCCTACACTGCCCCCTCCCAAAAATGGCCTATTCTCCTGAATAGGGGCAAAATACACCTATCTTCTTCTTATTATTATTTTGAAAGGTTTAATGAGCATGATCAGAAAAGACGAAATCGAATTACAACTTATCACTAATCACTGTCCAGAAGTTGGTCTGAATTAGTGTCCATCAATTTAACTAGGGTGTCTGTGAGAATGTTGGTTAATGTTGATTTAGGCTGCAATTTGGTTCCTTATTCAAGCAAACACACAACAATCATCGAGGACTACCCACAGTAAGTCCATTACGGCTTGACAGGTCTAGTGGGGGCCATCTACTGTGGCCCCTCTCCCAGGCTGTCACGGTGCCATGTTCTCCACTAGATGTCCCCCAGTTCCTAGAATCCAACAGCCTCAGTTTCTTTGCATACTAGGGTGCCGTCTGGTTCCGTCCTGGTCTCCCTGGTGAAAGTAGATAACTCCTCTGTCATCAGAGGCAGTGGCCTCCCAAGTCTTCACCTCTGCATGCTGTAACTTTCTTGTTGGGGAGCACCTACTCTAGCCTGCTGTCTCCACCTGGTCTGACCTGTACCACCACCCTTGAAGATCTGATGATTCTCTCATCCAAGGCAAGGCTGATCAAGGCTATCTATCTAGAGAAATTCTCCTCACCGGGGCTGGTGCGGCAACGCTCCCAACAGCTGCTCCCTCACCTGCCACCCCTCCACTGGCTGCTGCCTCATGGGATCTGGCACGTTGAGCCAGGTAGTCAACCGGCCTGTAGGTCTGGGGGCATTGTCCACAACAAAAAGATCGCTCTTCATGTGCCGCTTTCTCGTGCCTGCATTCATTGTAAGATGACGTGGACTGTAGTCTGGGAACTGTGCACTTGTATGTTGTTTGATGCTCCATCACTGTTTGTTCCTGTCCCAGCTTGCTGTGTGTATGACGACGGTTGTTAGCGCCCTCTGCAGGCTCGATAATGTTAGGGCAAGGATAGACTTGCTGCAAGTACCGCGGGGGCTTGCAAACTGCTCTGCCCCGGCAAGTTCGTGGTGTGCTCTTTTGATCTGAACAAGTCATTGTATGCTGTCAGTTGCCTGCTCCGATCGAGCAATGTGAGCGAAGCCCTAAATAAACCACCTGTAGTAAGACACCAGTCCAAGAAAGCTTCAGACATCAGCAACAATGGCCAGCAAAGGCCAGTTCCGCACAGCACAAACCTTTCCAGGGTCACTAGCAACCCCAGCAGGTGATACCACATGACCGAGGAGCTTCAACTTTAGGTTGGCTGCACAAAGCCTCTGCAAACTTGGCAAAATCTTTGCATGTGTTCATCAAATGCCCATCCAAATACGATGATGGCATCAAGGTACATGTACAACACAGCCATGTGCCATTGCAACTCTGCGAGGACACGCTCCATCAAGCGCTCAACAGTGGAGGGCACGTTGCACAACCCAAAAGGCATGGTAACAAACTGGTAGAGCCCACCTCACCCCGTACGAAATTAAGTTTTTAGCCTGTCTTCCTCAGCTACATGTACCTCTTCCTGCCAGTACCCAAAAGCAAGGTCCAGGTTGAGAAGAATTGGGACCCTGCCAGTGAGTCAAGGTTGTCCTCTATGTGCAGGAGTAGTTGTGTGTCTTTCACTGTAACTTCCTTCAGCCTTCAGTAGTCACTGCACACTAGGACAGACCCGTCCTTCTCTCTCACCAGGACAAGTGGTGAACTCCATGGACTCTCAAATGTCTCAATGACACCCTGCAAGAGCATTTGGGCTATTTTTTTCGTCTGCCACCTCCTGTTTGGTACAGGGTACTCTCCTCAGTCTCTGTTGAATGGGTGGGGCTGTCCCGGTCCCAATGC